AAAAAAAAAAAAAAAAGAATGACCTGGATTTAACTAATTGTAAACATCCTCTCTGGCTTATGCCCTTAAGGATAACTTTGTTACAAGACTTACGGGATCCCAGGGTTCTGGGATCGAGTCCCGCATCGGGGTCCTGCTAGGCGGGGAGGCTGCTTCTCCCTCTGCCTCTCTCTCTCTCTCTCTCTCTGACTCTCATGAATAAATAAATAAAACATTAAAAAAAAAACAAGATTTATGGGGAAAAATCCAGAATAGAGAAATTATGAGCTCACAAAACTTTTATTAAAAAAGAGATAGGGATTGTCAGGTGTGTGTGTGTGTGTGTGTGTGCATGTTTTCAAATCCTGGAAATACTAAAATATCCGTAGAAAGAGGAAAAGCAACTGAAATATATTTTTTTTAAATTACTGTTTTACTGTGGAATGTGGTGAGGAAAGGAAATAGGAATTTGGAAAAGTTTCATTCCATGCTAGCAAAAGTTTCTATCTGTGTACCTAAGAAGTAATAACCACAGACGAAACAACATGGTATGAAAGCAAACTGTATGACATTTGTAGGGCACAAAGACTGAGTTCTTTCTACTAAAAATAAAATGCTTAAGTTATGCTGTCTGGCAAAACCGACTGAGAGTTTGTAATGTTCTGGTACCCGGATATCTTTATTTCCTGGAGCCCTAAAAATAAAAGGACATATTCTATGTGGCATTTAGATTTAGTCATTAATTAACCCTGGACTTGGGTTTTCACTAAGAGCCTGCTGCACTTACTTTGGGCAGCAATGAATCATCTCTTCTTCTAGCATTCATGAGTTGATAATCATGAACTTGGAGGACCTTGAAAATTCAAGGTAGCATGTTTTTCAAAGCATTTTAACAAGAAAGTTTAAAATGATGGGTCAAGGGGCGCCTGGGTGGCTCAGTCATTAAGCGTCTGCCTTCAGCTCAGGTCATGGTCCCAGGGTCCTGGGATCGAGCCCCGCATCGGGCTCCCTGCTTCTCCCTCTCCCACTCCCCCTGCTTGTGTTCCCTCTCTCGCTGTCTCTCTCTCTCTGTCAAATAAATAAATAAAATTTTAAAAAAAAAAAAAAATGATGGGTCAATAAGAACTACACTTTCCTGTGAGAAAAAGCATTTTATGTGTTCTAGTTTGACTACTGTTGAGTAATGTTCGGAATTAAAGCTATGGGCTCAGGAGTCAGACCGCTTGATGACAAAATAGCACTGTACTTAGCTGCATGAGCCTGTGCCTTAGTCTCCCCATTTGTAAGTTGAGACACTAACGAATATAACTCATGGGGATATTGTGAACATTAAATGAAATAACACATATAATGTGCTTAATGTGATTCCTGACATGTAGTAAGCATTCAATACATTTAAACACACACACACACAGAAAGATCAAAGGAGAGATTTTATGTTAGCTCAACATTGATCTATTTTGTCCAGTTTCAGTTCCAATATATGGGAAATAATGTCAGGAAAAATGGAGCTATTTTTAAAGAAGATCAAAAACTGATTTTTAAAATGGACTCTTAACAGAGTTAAGGCAATGAGGATTCTCACATTTCATTTAACAATGCTATTGTTTTTAAATAAAATCTCTGTTGGGTTTTTTTAATTAAATGTGTTATCAATAAAAAAATTTTATGTAGTACTTTGTTACAATTTTGTAACCTGAGATTATTTGAGCTACCCTCGGATAACCAACTAGAAATCACTGTTGTATAGAAGAAATGTTCACCAATGGAGGTAGGAGGGAATGGGGGAGGGGGTTATCTGGAGGCAGAATTCTTGGAAAACTTTTTCAAAGTGCAAAAGCCCATGCTCCCCTCTATTGCTTCTCTAGAGTAAGAACCACTGATACAAAAGAAGGTAGAGAAACAACTTAATAGTTAAAATGTTGGAAGTATAATGGCAGTGGTTGCAAGTTCTCCAACCTCTAGAATTAACTTTTTCTTTAATTTACAAACCAAATGTTGCAAACCACATTCCACATTGCAGTGGGAAATCCAGAGCCTCTTCCAGTGTTCCTGCGATTTACTCTGAAAGAGATTTTTGTTGTCCTAGACATCTGTCACTGCAAATTCCTGCTTCTACAGAATTCTGAGTCCCCACTCACTGTGCCCTTTGCATTCTCACCCCGCTGTGTGAGTGGTCCTCTCTGTGCTTACTTTCTCATCATTCACTCCAAATAACACTAATATATTTCACCTCCACTTCTGGATCGCCCTCTCCTTTACTCTGCTTCATTTTTTGCCCTAGAATTTGTCATCATCTGGAAAATTATATGTTGATGTCATGAGGACAGAGACTCGGTCTGTTGCGTTTGCTGTGATACCCCTAGTGCTGTACCACATGCAGAGGAATTCAATAAATATGCATGTGATGCATGAGTGATTGAATGAAGACTTTATGATTATTATTTATTTCGTCAATGCAGCAGACTTTTACTGTGAGCTTTGGATAATGTCGATTACTTACATCAGAGCTCAGAACAGGAAAAGAATTTAAAATGGACCCCTAAACATCTCTGTTTTCCAAGCTCCTGGACCATCCTCCATAGGGACTTCTCACAAGCCTCCCTCCTTAGGCCACGTTTGCGACCATGTTGGGCCTTCTTTCCCTTTATCTTTCAGAGCTTATCTTGTCTCTCCTCCCGTCTCAGGTCCAGGGCTTTTCCTGCTTCCAATGTTGATTCAACGAAGAACGTATCCACACAATCAGAAGTCCAGTTGTTGTGTTTCCAATACTAAAATCTCATTAATCATGATCTTTGGCCTATGACACAGTCTCAGCCTTGGTCCAGGCCTGGCCTTTGTTTTTTTTGTTTGTTTGTTTACTTAGTTACATATTTGTTTATTTAAAAATAAATACTTGTATATATGCCACCCAGCATATAAATGAGAACATTCAAACGTTCTAACATTTACCTATGTTTTCCTCCCCATTTTATACCCTGCCTCTCTCCAGTAGTAGAAACCACTATCCTGCAACTTTTACTATTATTCCCTTCGCTTTTTAGAATGATAGCTTTATCACAATATAGGTATTTCTTAAAAATATATTGGGCAGGGGCGACTGAGTGGCTCAGTCGTTAAGCGTCTGCCTTCGGTTCAGGTCATGGTCCCAGGCTCCTGGGATTGAGCCCCGCATCGGGCTCCCTGCTTGGCGGGGACCCTGCTTCTCCCTCTCCCACTCCCCCTGCTTGTGTTCCTGCTCTCGCTATCTCTCTCTCTGTCAAATAAATAAATAAATGAATGAATAAATAAATAAATAATCTTTTATATATATATATTTTTATATACATATATATAGGGCAGTTTTAGTTGTAACTTTTTTAAAGGGGTGTGGGGTATTATGGAATATCTCATCTTTGGGAGCTTACTTTTTACTTAAATTCTAGTTCTAGGATACATTTGCATTCACTTTTCTTTAAGATTATACGTATGTAAGTAGAATTACTAATATAGGGTACATGAATCTCCAATTTTAAAAGAAAATGCCAAATTTTTTTCCAAAGTAGTTAAATCAGTTTGTACTCCCACCAACAAAGTATAAGCTAGCCTATATATCCACATCTTCTCCAATATTTGATGATATTAGACTTCTTCAGTTAACTAACGGATTGGGTTTTAAATGGTATCTCATTGTGGTCTTCTTATTAGCCTATAAATGTTTTTTATGTATTCTTGCTATCAGTTCTTTGCCAAGGTGTTGCAAATATTTTGTCTTCATTTATTTTTTCACTTTCTTAATATCTTTTAATGTGCCATCTTTTTAGTTTAATATGTCAAATTTATTATGAGGGAAATCAGCTATCATAAATGTTTAAGCAGTAGCCTTGAAAGACAGTGATAAGGGAAATCACCACAATAGGTAGAACTTCAAGCTATGTACCTAATCATCCATTTTGTGTGAAGAGAGAAGGGACATAAGGTTAGAATATACATGAACTCTTAGATAGTAGCAAATGCTTGGCCAGCTGGTCAGGGACTGTGCTCTTTTCCTAGAGCTGTCATGCAAATTAGGCAGCTTAAATTTATTCCCTCATAGTTCAAGGAAGCCAGAATTCTGAAATCAAGATGTTAGTAGGGTTAGTTCTTCTGGGGTCTCTAAGGAAGAATCATTCCAAGCCTTTCTCCTAGCATCCAGGGATCACCAGCAATCCTTGGCATATCTTGGTTTGTGGACTCCTCATTCCAGTCTCTCCCTTTATCATCAACACTGCCTTCTCCATGTACGTGTCAGTGTCCTCCCCTCTTCTTGTAAGAGCCTCAGTCATTGGGCTTAGAGCCTACCCTAAATCCAGGATGATTTTATCTCAAGCTTTTTAACTAATTACATTTACAAAAATACTAACTCCAAATAAGGTCACAATCTGAGGTTCTAGGGAGGCATGAATTTGGGAGAAACACTGTTAAGCCCCTACAGGGGTCTAAAAGCAGAAAAATTGGAATATCAGGAAAAAGGAAGTCTGGGAGACAGGCATACAGCTGAACATTAGAGAATGAGCATAAAGTATGAAGAGCTTTAAAACATATAACACCCAGCCAAGATCACCAACATGGAAGGGGCACCAAACAACCGAGTAGACAAAAATGACTCGGCCAGTTGACATTATTCATCCTCTGCCAGCAGCCACCCACTGCTAACACAATGGGAAATGGATGAAATAGCTTTGTCTTGGGGAGAGAGACTGTGCATGTGCCCAACATATGCTCCCGTTCACCAACGCTAATTTAACTATTGCACCTGCCAAATGTACAACTTGCAAGCAAAAGAGACCAATGCTGAGTATCCCATATAGTATCACACTCTTCTGCATCTTATATTCCCCACTCAACAATAATTTGTGGGAATTGCTGAAAAGCGTTTGGATTAGCTCTAATTCATTATTTTTAACGGCCACATAATATCCTGTGGCATTCCAGAGCTTTTCCAGCCATGGCTTTCTTTCACATTACAACACCCTATTAAATTTCTCTTATGGTAGGAAAATGGGACAAGTACCCAAGGACAACAGATGGTGAGGACACCTGAGAAGACCCTATCTGACCTGCCCACCCCCAGCCCCATCAAACAACATGCTCCTGATCTAGTTTCACAGCACACATCCAAATTTAACAATTCAGAGAAGAGTTGAATTTCTGCAGCTGGTAAGTTTAATTCTGGGAACTAATTAACATTTTTTAGATCTATTTTTGGCTGCAAGCTAATAAAGCTACTATTCTCTCAAATGATGAAAGCAGAGAAACGCTTTGAAAAACTTTCCAGGAGACTTGGCAGTAAGATAATAGTGTTGAAAAAGTTAGCTGCAAAAACATTCTCTGAGTTGCTTTAAGTAGAGGAAGGTCAAGAGCAACTATCCAGCATAGGTCCTTTTGAGGATCACTGTGTATGTACAAATTTTTCTTCATGACAAGCCTCAAATTGATTTAGGAAGGGGAAGCGGAGATGGTGAAAGAGAACATGTCTACCTTCCAGCTACCAAAAAGCAACAGCTGCTGCAGGATGCCCTTACATGGCATTTGTTTCCTGCTCTCCCTGAGTGAAGTCGCCCGAGACAAACCACGGCAAGTGGTATTTGCCATTTCCTGGAAGACAAGCACAAGGCCAACTCTGTAATTACCCAGAGGCCCTGTCTGAGGGCCACAGCCATAATCAGGTATCGGTCACTGGGAGAAGAGACTGACTGGGGCTCTGGGCAGGTGTGTTGGGCATGTAGAGTGAAGGGTCCAAACCACATCTGGTCAGGTCCTACCAGGAAAGCTTTGCCTCTACAGATGCTGCAAGAAACAGCTCTGCATGAGGCAGCTGACAGCCACCTCAAACTGTTCTGCTGTCCACAGTCTCTGCAGGAGGGCAGAAATTCATGGGAGCAAATAAAGATTTTTTTTTTTAGTATTTAGAGATGCAGTTTATATTGGCAACAAAGCCTGTGTCAGGCCAAGCTGAGTAGTTTTGCAGCTGTTCTTGTCTTGCCTAACTGGGTCTCAGATCGAAAAACCACTGCTCTACCAGCTAACTGCTAGTTTTAAATGACTTCTAGGAAAGGCCCACCAACAATTTCATTTCCCTGCAATGCAACAAGCAATGTATTAGCTATGGTTAACATCAGCGTCTGTAATTTCATAACGAACCAGTTCTCATTCCATGTCTAAAATACATGGCTATTTGTAATCACTTCCTCCTGGAAGCTATAACCCTTTGTTACCATAAATAATAATCAAATGGCCTTCTAAAGCATACCTACTTTTCTTGATTAAAAACTAAACTATTGCACATGATTTTATTTTTATTGTCTCAAAAAATTTCTATAACCTTTTAGAAGTGGTTTTCAGACTGTATCCAAGAAGTCTTCCCAGAGGGATAAACAGATGAAAGCAGAACGGTTCTGATTAAAGTGGTTTGGCATTCTCGCCCCTCCTTGCATTACCTCTCATAAAATAAAATAGACTTAAAAATAGACTGTAATAGTTGGTGAGTTAATAGAATCATTATTTAAAATTTTTTTATTTTGAAATAATTACAGATTCACAAGAAGTTGCAAAAGTAGTATAGAGAGGTCCTGTGAACCCTTCACCAAGCTTCTCCTAAAGTAACGTTTCACTTAACTGTAGCACATTATCAAAATCAGGAATACTATTAACTAGACTATAGGCTTTACTCAAATTTCATTGGTTTTCACATACACTCCCTTGGTATGGTTCTATGAAATGTTATCAGTATATAGATTTCATCACTACTGAACTCCCTCATGATACCCCTTTATAGTCTTACTTCCATCCACCCCCATCCCTAACCCCATTCATCTGTTCTCCACTGATCTGATCCCTATCATTTTGCTATTTCAAGAATATAATATGCATGGAATCATACTGTAGGTAATATTTTCAGATTGGCTTTTTTCACTTAGCATAATGCCTTGAGATTTATCCAAGTTGATGTGGGTGTAAATAATTCCTTTGTATTTCAAAATAGTATCCCATTGTACAGATTTACCTTAATTTCTGTAGTCATTCACCTTTTTAAGGACATTTGGGTTGTTTCCAGTTAGGTCTTTTATAATTGAAGCTGCTAAGAGCATTTGTATATAGATTTTTGTAGAATAAGTTTTCCTTTTTCTAGGATAAATGTCCAAGGGTGCAATTGCTAGGTTGTATGATAAGTATATGTTTAATTCTATAAGAAACTGCAAAACGTTTTCTAGACTAATTGTCCACTTTTGTATTTCAGCCAGCAATATATGAAAGATCCAGTTTCCCTGTATTCTTGTCAGCATGCAGTATTATCAGTATTTTCCCTTGGCTACTTGGTGTGTAGTGGGGTAATCATTTATTTTTAAGAACAATATTACCTTTCTTTTCTTTGTCCAATTTAAAACTGAGACCTGTTTAATTATTAAGAATAGTGCTCCCCAAACATAAAATTAGCATAAAAATACATGTGATGGTATGAACTCAAGGATAGCTATTCCAGATTGAATCTCAGTGGATGAGATTAATGATCTGGTCCCAGCTCTAAAGATTCAGAAACTTTCATTTATTTATTGACCTAGAGATAAAAAGATATATAGGCAGAGAAACTTCTAAGAGATTTCTCTGCAGGCTAGAATATTAGGTGTAACAGTATCAGGTACCCATTTCCTCTGGCATGGTGGGTCTACTCAGGGGCCCAACCCTCAGAGCATATGTTTACAGAAGGAAAGCAGAGGATGTGGATGTTCTTATAGGCATTTTTATAAAGCTACGCTAGCCTTATGAAAGGCTGCCTTTACTTTAGATATTCCCGGATGAATCGCAATCGCAGTATATAAGATGAAATCATCCTTTGGCCATGGCTGTGCTGAAGAAAAAGGTCCACTTTCAATCCCCTTTCTACAGAAGGGTCACTTACCTTACTGTGGATTTTACACTGCAGCATGAACCTGCTTCTTTCAATTTCCATTAACATGCTCATTCCCAAGTGTACTAATTTTCACTTATTACATTTTACAGTATTGACTTCCTTATAGTCAGTGCTGTTGTAAAGTGCAATATGGTGACAGATGGTAGCTACACTTGTGGTGAGCAGAGCATAATGTACAGAGTTGTCAAATCACTATGTTGTACACCTGAAATTAACGTAGCATTGCGTGTCAACTATACTTCAATAAATATATACATATGTTTATATATATACATATATATATAAATTAAAATACTGACTTCCTAAGGATGCTTAAACTTACTGTCATAAGGCAGTAAACTACCTCCAAATTGTAGGATAGTTCTGAGCTTGCAAACAATCAATCACAACCTTAGCATGTAATTTCTTAAAGATTTTTTTTAAATATAAAAACAGTACATACTCACAGTAAATAATTCAGACTTGCAAATCTTGAGCATGTCATTCCCTGATGTGATTGTATCAACCTCTTGCTGACATATTAATATACTTATCTTTTATCCTAAATTTTAGGGTCAATTTTACTTTGGTGTCTGCATCACTCTAATCCATGGACTGAATACGTTAAAACCCTAAATAAAGGCTATGTAGATAATAACATTGGTGTTTGTTTGAATTCTAGCCATATAAAATAGTATCTCACCACAAACCCAAAGAGCGCTGGTAATTGATACCATTGCAGACATATCTGTGAGTTACTACTGATCATTAGAGCTGGACCTTTAGCAGGGCACTAAGTATGAGGAAAGGGCTTGGGAAATGCTTTGAAGTTCAAAACTTAATGTAGTCTCTTAGATTTAAAGCGATCTACCTCAAAGGCTGAGGTATTCCCTTTCTGAAAATGTCTTCATTACACTCGAACTGTTTGACATTGTCTTCCTTTATGATTGTGGTTGAGTAGAGTGCCGCTTTTTTTAGTTATTTTGGCTATATTCGTTACAGGCTACGAGATCCTAAAGTCTAGCAGCTAATACAATATAGAAGTTTATCAGTGTCTCTCATGTGAAAGTCCAGAGATAGACAATCCAAGGTTGGTAGGGCATCTCTACATCCTCATTAAGAACCTTCCATCTCTTTTCTAAAACAGCTGCTCTGTTTGTTTCCTGAGATTAAGAATTCCTCATATCAGTGAGATCATATGATACACGTCTTTCTCTGATTGACTTATTTCGCTCAGCATAATACC